CAGCCACCCTCACGCTTCAGGTGGGTGAGGTGGGAGCATTAATACCCGACTCCATGAATAGCCCACACCTGAGCCGCTGTGTCAACCCAAGGACAAAACCAAGCTTAGTTTAAAAATATGTAAATATTCCTAAGCTGGTAAGCAAGCTGTTCGAACACTTTGTGAGTGTTCTGAACACAAAACAACCAATCACAAGTCTCCGTCGTGTTACTGGTCCAGTCCGAACACTACCTGCAGAAGTTACCACTACACAGACATTGTTCTCAGAATATGCAAGACGCCATTCCTCAACTTGGTCGAGGTGCTATAGCTGCCTCGTTAAGGTCAATAGGCCTTCTGTAATATCCTTTCTTCCTATATATTCCTATTTACTAACGTTCTTAAATTTCACATGATAAAAAGGGTATATTTGACAAGAATATATAGCCCATGACATGACCGTTGTCCAGAGAACTTACCGCAGTGAGGAGGAGGCAGAGACGGTGAAGAGGAGGCAGAGACGGAGTGGAGATGATGATGGTGTGTGGTACAGAAACAACTGCCACCGTAGATCACCACGGGAGGTGTAACACACACACACACACCGCTCGCCCTAACACCAAACTGATAACTACCACCTCTGGAATTACAGTTCCAAATGGCCGCACGAGAGTATGAACATGGGATACAGCTAGAGCTAGGCCTCTAGGGCCTGCTTGGCTTTCTTAAACACTTGACTAGGTTGAGAGCGGCCGAGGCGAGGACATGGTACACCAATGTCCCAAAAAGGTCCCGAGGGGTCCCAAGAGATCCCAAGAGGGGGAGCGTGCCACTGGTCGCCAAGAAGGTGGACCCAACACTCACCGCCCTCTGATGCCCGGGGTCATGCTCCCTTACCTGACTCTGGCACCACCCCGCGCAGGTTCACCCCCCCCCCCACCCTCACCCTACACAAGAGCCACCCCCCGCCCCCCATGCACCTGCACCCTCCGAGCCCTGTACCACCCTTCTATAACACAGGGAGGCCGGCCTCAACACCGCCTCCTCGCCAGCTCCTGCACCCGGCTGGTTGATACCTGGTTGATGGGGTTCTTGGAGTTCTACTCCCCAAACCCGGCCCGAGGCCAGGCTTGACTTGTGAGAGTTTGATCCACCAGGCTGTTGCTTGGAGCGGCCCGCAGGCCCACATACCCAATCAGCCCGGTTGGTCCGGTTCTCCTTGGAGAAAACAGTCTAGTTTTCTCTTGAAAATCACCATTCTATGCCTCTATCCTCCCCACCAACACGCACGGCATAGCTGCATAATACGAGGATCTTCTGAACGAGAAATTGGATGAAACAAAGCAAGTTGAAACCAAGTAATCTCATACCAATTAGTCTAAATCTCTCAAGGGGTCTGTTAGCTGGACATTCAATAATATAACATTGGAGAATATGATCCGTGATCTCGCTCGCAGTATGGACACACCAGCGTGAGTGCTCAGGAGACCATAGAGACCACAGGTGATGGCACAGCAAGCTGGTGCTGAGGATTACTGTGTCGCACTGTCTGCTCTACGAATTATCCTACTCTCATATGTAAGTATCGGTTCTAAAATAAATAACAATTGATACTGGAGCTTTCCGGCCTTTCAGCTATTGATTTGCTTCCTATTAGAGCCGAGTATTTGGAACAATATAATTTTGACGGCAGGGATGGATATCGTATGTCTAGTTCAATGTTATCTTTATTACATACTAATTTAGCTGCAGTTTTCATAATTATCCGTTATACTGTATTAGTGCCAGAGGATATCCATATGAGAGAGATCATAAAACCCTTATTTTGTGCAAGTTATCCAAGTTTGTTATTTTGTTCTTGCTATCTCACGGAACTTCTAATCTGCTTTAAGAGCAGATCTTAAAATCTAATTCTCTTATCTTATTAATATACTTAGGTAACATCTGCGTTTATGCAGCTAATCTTAGACTCTGTGAAGGGTTACATAGTTGTGTCAAAAACTAGCAATTTAATGCTAAAACAACCCTTATCACACCCAGCCACTTTGACTGGACGGTAGAGCGACGGTTTCGCTTCGTGCGGGTCGGCGTTCAATCCCCGACTGTCCTAGTGCTTGGGCACCATTCCTTCCCCCCCCCCCCCGTCCCATCCCAAATCATTATCCTGACCCCTTCCAAGTGCTATATAGTCGTAATGGCTTGTCTCTTTCCCGCAATAATTAAAAAAAAATTATCACACAGGATGGTTAGTCATACTTTTGTGCCCTCTGGAATACTTTTTGCGCTACCGCTCACAGGATGGGTATGGGGTGCACAATAAACTAGCCGTCTCCGACGGCAACAATAAAAAAACAGGACCATGCTCCCGCACTGGCGGACTTTAGATGCATTATGAAGATGTGGCCAGAACTCTTAGGAGTTAATAAAGAGATTGTAAAGCTCTAAGTACACCTGCTTGTCAACCTCGTGCATCTCTATGGGAATGTCAGCCATAGTTTCATCCGTATGTCATTCATAGTTTCATTCAATTATTGTTTCACATTTATTCCATCCAGTTCATCCATTCATTATTCATTCATTCATCCTTTCATTCACACACCCCATCCATTCGTTCAATCATTTATCCACCCGTTCCTGCCTTCTCTCAGGCTTCTCCTCACGTAACCTCGTCTAACATGAAGTACCAGGCAGCGACTGATGAAGAACGTGCCCAATAGGTACACTTCAATTCTCTCCTGACGACTTCACTGTTTGTTAAACGCTCTGTGGGTTCTTCCCCATCCCCCCATCGCCCCTGTGGATGTACCTGTAATACCCATCAGGTATACGACTGCATGTACGCAGTCGTATACCTGATGGGTATTACAAAATCTGTTTCATATATGCGTAAGTATGTACCGAGTTATATATATAATGAACGTTTCGGCTAAACGCAGCCAATGCCAAGACGTCTGCAGTTAGATATACGGTGTATATATAGGCAGGTATATTTAGATATGCTAAGAGGTTGCTGGTGTCGCTTGAGGCCATGTTTGTGGTAGTTGTGGTGGTAGAGGTGGGGTGGTAGTTGTGGTGGTAGAGGTGGGGTGGTAGTTGTGGTGGTAGAGGTGGGGTGGTAGTTGTGGTGGTAGAGGTGGGGTGGTAATGGTGGTGGTTGAAGGGAGTGGTGGAGTTGGGGCTATGACATTACACTTCAGTTATTTCACTTCCTCTCAACCTGCCCCGGCTGGAAATCTTTTTTTAACCGCCTAGGTCTCCCACCTAAGCCTATAGCTCCTTGTGCCCAGTTTTTGAGAAGCGAACACGAACTAAGATGTCTCCCAGCGGGTGTCCTTTTCTCCGCGGCAGAGGAGTAAAGGAGGAGGAGGAGGAGGAGAGGTTAGGCTAAGTTGATGGCCAGGTTGTCTTAAGTTTTCCTTCTAATAGTACACAATGTAGACTTTTTACAACAGTTCGCATTTTGTATATTCCGTCTATAGAAGCTCTAGAGACTATTATTTGGTTTTGGAAGAGGTTACAATAACGGGTCCCTGGCAGTTGGGCAACTGCTGTGGGATTGTACCCTGTGGAAGGCGAATTGTTGGTCTAGTAATCTAGTAATTACTAAGTTACGCGGAAAATAACAAGTTTCCTGTCAGCGAACATGGGACGCCAACCTATCAGGCCTCGCGCATACTGGAGACTGAGGTGAATCTCTCGATTGATGAAGATTAAGCCACCCAAAAGGTGGCACGGGCATGAATAGCCCGTAAGTGGTGGCCCTTTTGAGCCATTACCAGTATCAAGAGCTGATACTGGAGATCTGTGGAGGTGCGACTGCACCCTGCGTGACGGGAGATGTCTCCCATGCTCTGAGTATGACTCCCTGTTGTTGTTGTTGTTATAGATTCAGCTACTGGGAACAAAACGTTCCAAGTAGCACGGGCTATGGTGAGCCCGTAATGGTCTTACCTGGCACAGGAGCAGGGCTGGACTCTCTCCCTTGTTACACCCATGATATAGTCTCGAGACTCAATGTCACCACGGCCCGGTCCCCATCTAGGCTTCCTGGTTGGTGGTCTCTTCAGCCAGCCTGTTAGGTGCCGTTGTTCGCAGCCTGACGTGAATCACAGCCCAGTTGATCAGGTATCACTTGAAGGTGTTTATCAAGTTATCTTTTGAACACAGAGGTTTGCTAGTTATGTTTGAGGAGAGTTAAAATTCTTGTGACCTTGATGTTGATAGATATTGTTCTCTTGAGCGTCTATTGCATCTCTACTTTTTAACGGGGTTATTTTGCACTACCTGCCATGCCTCATGGTCTCATGTGGGTTTGTTTCCATGTACAGATTTAGAACCAGTCTCTAATACTTTCTACGTGTAAATTATTATGTATCTCTTCCACCTGCTCTCTAGGGGAATACAGATTTAACAATTTCAAGTGGTCCCAATAATTTAGTCATTTTATTAAACGAATTCTGTCAGTAAAAAATCTTTGCACTTTCTCCAGGTCAGCAATTTCTCCAACTTTGAATGAGGTTCATAGTGAACAATAGTATTCCACCCTACCTTGCGATGATTTCGGGGCTCAACGTCTCCGCGGCTCGGTCCTCAACCGGGCCTCCTGGTTGCTGGACTGGTCAACCAGGCTGTGATTGATTGATTGATGAAGATTAAGCCACCCAAGAGGTGGCACGGGCATGAATAGCCCGTAAGTGATGGCCCTTTTAAGCTTTACCAGTATCAATAGATGATACTGGAGATCTGTGGAGGTGCAACTGCACCCTGCGTGACGGAAGATGTCTCCCGTATTACTGGTCATTTCAACCAGGCTGTTGGACGCGGCTCTATCTATCCACTCATTGATCCGCAAGATCGTTAAACAATTAGCACAGGTACATTCCCCCAATCCCACGGTACACATCCCTGCTTCTTTTGGATTATAAAGACTCTTCCCAAAACCCTCCACCTTTATAGCTCACTATAGCCCGTGCTATATGGACATTTCGTTCCGAGTGCTATATCTAAAAACAACCACCTAC